AGGTGTGTCAGTGCTGCTCATTACAGACTTCCAGAATGCCACTGATGCGGGAGTCTACACTTGCCGGGGTGAGGGACCAGACTCGGCCAAGACAGTTGTCATTGGAGACATCTCCCAGGGGCCACTCACCACTAGCCAAATGCCCCCTTCTGGTGGTAAGTTGAAACAATCTTCTCAGTCGAGTTCTACAACAAGTACCGGTAGCATTTCAAGTAGTAACAGTTTGTGACACTGTAATTTGTTGATGTTTTTGTCATTGGAGACATCGGTCAGGGCCTTTGGCTGATGGAAGGCCAAGGCAACGTTGTAAGTCAAGCTTTTAGGTCATCACAATAGGTCATTAACCACATTAACCACTCCTGCTGGGGAGCCCGATTTTGGGCAACGTGTGCTTATACGCGTGGCTGGGATCTCCGAAATCGGACAAAGGGAACTGGGCATTGTAACAAAAGACCAGGCTGCTTGGCATTACCGACATTTTTTCACTCTCAATAGTGGAGATATCCAGCCTTGTTTTGAAACAGTATACCATGGTTTTGGGCATTTAGAGCAAGCGGATTAGCACCGGGGACAAAATTGTCCACTACTGCAGCCATGAGCCACACAGCACCGCTGCCCGCTAATCTGGCCCCTATTGAGAAGAGGTCAGCAGTGCACTGTGCCAGGTTCGTGAACAAAAGAAAGATATATAGCACCATACAATCTGGGCTCTTTTTACAAGGCCGCAGGCCTGGCTGAAATACTCGGGCGTCAATAGATTTTGTCTGTCAAGACTATAGTGGCCACCAGACAGTAATTCGTGTGGGTGTAAATGTTCATTAATTGAAATGATGAATTTTTGAAGAATTTTGAAAACTGAAAATCTTGAAGAAGTCCTGATTATGTGCACTGCATTTTTCAAACCACCCAGCAGCACCCGTTTACCTCAGTGCTTTACTGCTTTTACCACCTAGACTGACTTTATTAGAACTTGATGTGCCTTACTTTTGCCATGTTTTCAACTTCTTGCTTAAAGACCCCATATAATTTACAGTGTTTCTGTACTGTCCATGTAAATTGAATATTTATGTCCAATTTCATGTCAAACTCAATTTTTGTTTGTCATTTTTGGGCCTTTCAAATTTTTTGGAGCTCCCTCAAACAAACCTCAGTCACGCAGCTTTTTCTTCACCAACTTTTACCAGAAAATTGGACATTTTGCTGTCAGGGAGTGGTAAACATTCAAGGGTTTTTCTGTCAGGAA